CTCACTGATGTTTCTGAAGTTTTGGTTGTTCTTTTTTTTTAAATGAGAGAATATTGTCCCTATTTCATGGAAGTATGGACATTTTTAAAAGTGCTGGTTCCACACAATGCCTACAAGCACACAGGCTTATCCCTGCATACTCGTCTTCCCACCTAAGCTAATTAATTGTCTTCTGAAGGTCCCCATTTCCCCACCCACTCTCCTTCCTGGCCAGGCTCTGCCAGCAGCCTGGTCTAATCCTCCAAGTCTGCCACATTCTAAAAGGCAACTAACAGCCTGCTCTGCCTCCTCTACTGCCCAACCCCTCTGCTAGCAATGTTCAGAGGTGCAGGTGTTAACCTTAGCAATGTCCTAACAAGAGCATGCCACCCGAGGCTGCAAGGTCACCCTTCCACAGGTCTCAGCCTGAGATGGGCATTTTAATTAGAGCTCTTTGTAAGCACTCTCCACATTCGGAAACAGTGGCCCTAGAAAAATAGAAGCAGCAACAGCAGGGCTCAGAGACAAGAGGGACCAAACTCTTTGCCAAAGTCACTCTGCTTCTCCAGTGACTGTCACACCCAAAGTCCAAATTGTACCTCCATCTCTTGACAGTGGGAGGCATGAGTCAAGCAGCCTTGGCTGGCATGGGAGACACCAGGTCTAACATGCCAAGAAGGACAGGGTTGAGTGCTCCAGCCCAAGAAGGATGAAAGAGGCTGAGGTCCAAACGCCTGGCTCAAATTGGGCCTTCCAACGAGCAGAGGGTGCTGAGCACTGGCCAAGGAGAGCCACACTAGGCAAAAAGAGGGAAGCAGGGAGAGTTTTGCTTCAGCATGCCCCCTCCTTTCAAATCCCACAAACTACTACATGCTGCCACTGGACCCAGATGGCTCTAGAACAGAAAGTGAGGCTGGTGACTTTGCACAGCCCTCCCTCACCCAAATCAGTCAACTGCTAGTCACGGCATCACCTTCCTGATGTCATGGTCCTCTTGGAGAATGAAGGACAAACAACAACTACACGCTAAGGAGTCAGGAGAGGAGCACGGTGCACGTTGGGACGGCACGCACCCCAGTGAGTACGTGAGGTCGGCTGAGAACGGAAGAGAACAGCAACACGGCTGCGAGGATGAGGGCAGGCTTAGATGAGAAATGGACTCGGAGGGACAGAGAAGAGGAAGGAGGAGGAGATTCTGTGGACAAGTGGGAAAAGGCACGCTTGATTCAGGAACAGCTAGCAGTCTGTGTGTGGAGGGGTATGGTAAAGGAGACTGGAGCCGGACTGGAGCAGGCTAAGGAATCTGGATCTTAGTTCCTGAAGGCAGGAAGCCACTGAAGGCCTGAGACAAGCCTCCTCTTTGGGAAGGCTATTTTGGCAGCTGATTCTCCGGGGGATGTATTGTAAAGGGAGCCCAATTAGGAGGCCAGTTCAACAAATCAGGGAGAAGTGCTGAGGGTCCAAGGTGTGTGTGTATGTGTGGGGGGAGCGGAGAGAAGGAGACAGATGAGAGATATTGGGGAGTTAAAATCAATAGGCCCTGGCAACTGAGGGGGAAGGAGAAAGGAATGACTTAAAGAATCTCAGAGGTGAAGGGACCTCAGAAGACATCCGAGCCCAACTTGTTTCTGACCAATAATTGTCCCAGCAGAGAGAACAGACTCATGGGAGCTGCCACTAGGGATCTTGGTACTTTTGGTATCTGGTCATCTGAACCGTTACAAATCACCAAAAGGTCCTTTCATCTAGCTCACATCTCTTTATTTCCTCCCAAAGAGCAACATAACAGAGAGGCAAACCACGTCTCCAGCCTTCTCTGTCCCAAAGATAATAATAGCAGCTAGCACTTACCTAGTGCTTTATGGCTTGCAAAATGCTTTGATATGTTGCATATTTCATTTGATCCTTACAATAACCCTGGAAGCCTATACAAGGCTGATGTGCTGTAAGGCTGAGCTAAGTCTAGGGAACTGACACAAAAGCAGCTAAGGGGAGTTGGCTATGGCCTGTTTTGATAAGCTCATGTCAACGCTTTCCTTTTTCAGATGTTCACTAACCATCCCTTTAATTATGTATTACAGAATCTTGCCAGTAATCAAAGTCAAGATTCCTGCCCTAAAAGTTTGCAGACTCTACCGTCTGCTCTCTTTTGACAATTGGGGGCTTACTGCCCTTCTTAAACCTTGCCACACTTTCTCCAGGGGAGGTAAGTGCAGACTGATGCTGACCAATCACATCTACAAGGTCTTTCATTCCCCTTGGATACAGGCTATCTGGCCCTAGTGACTTCAACTCATCAAGGGCCATACAGGTCATCTTCCTAGCCCCCTACTTTTCCTCGGTAGATATAAAATTACTATTGGGTGAGGGATGAGCAATGGTTGAGGATTAGCAGAACAGGACAGTATGTGAAAAATGGAAGGACAAGGGAAGTGTGGAAAACAGTACCTAGCTGAAAAGGTTAATTATGGGGATAAGACTGTGAAAGAAGGAAGAAAGGAGACCAGACACAGTTACAGTGAATATATGGAAGTATAATGGCAGGAGACTACAGTCAGACGAGGGAATTTCAGAGGTCAGCATCATGGAAGTGGGACCATTTGGAGTGATGGTAAGGCCAAAGGTGGGACTACTCCTAAGGGTGGCTGAAAGGGAAATGGAAGCCATGTAGGCTGAAGAGGGTAGGGTGCTCCAAGGGACATCACCATAAATAGTGAAGCTGCCCAGAAGGTTGGGTGGATCCCTTGCAGTAAATCTGCGAGAGATCACAGACAAAAGACACAGAACAAGCAGGCATGGAGGGGTGGGGATCTGCAGTGTTGGAGGAAATACCCACATTGGAGCATCCTCAGCAACTAGTACCATGCCTTTGTACATAATAGGTGCCTAATACATGTTTTGAATTCTGGAAACAGACACACAAATAATAAGCAAACTCGATCTGACCAGCACTTCTGACCTTTATAACTAATATCCTCAGCTATTTTCCAGCTAAATGCTGAACTGTCCATGGTGATTAATCAACAGACTTTCTGAGAAGAACCAAGTAAATAGAGCTTAAAGTATTTCCTTTTTTAGTTTCTCAGAAAAGAGTTCTTAGCCTTCTAACCTGCCACAGGTGAAGGGGTCACGAAGTTCCACACTTCCTTTACCGGTAAAAACTTGTCTCTGAGGCAGCTGAACTTTGGAGAGACTTTTCATTCTCAAAGACTAACGTGCTTCACCTGCCCTCTTAGCTTCAAAAGACAGCAACGGAAAGCAGGCTTTAAAACATAACCATTTCCAAAGATTCCCAAAGAGAAATTCAACACCAACAATGTCTGTCCATGTTGATCTCAGATAGATTGGTACTGTTTGTGAAGGGAGAAGAAGCTGGGATTCCCTCTCCCCCCCCATAGCAGCAGCAGAAACAATTTTTAAACACCCCCAACCCCTGAACATCTGATCCAGAATGAGGCAAATACAATGTTCAAAAATTCCTACCTTAGCATTGCCCCAGCTTGTCTTAGCTAGCCCTCTTTAGAGGTTCAGGGCTGCTCCTGCTGCTGAGGAAGGCAATCTGTCACTGGAGAAATTGCAAAATGGGGGAGGAAGCTATGCAACGAAGGGAACCCTGCTATTCACTCTGTTCTATCAACCCCAAGTACAGGAAGGATTCTTAAGAAGAAAGGGGGAAAATCATGAAGGTTTTTTTTTAATTTAAATTTTATTTTATTTTAGCCACTCTCAAAAAAAGCAACACTCAAGGTGGGTAGACTGTTCCATGGACTGCCCAAATAAGTGCCTATCCTGGGTCTGAAAACATCACATCTGCTACAGGGGCAGCCCATTCCCGCTAATCTCGGGTAGGGGGGCAATCTGGCTGGGGGTGGGGTGGGGGGCTGCTGTCAGATCTTGACCCAGTATCTCAATCCCAAGGACTAAATTTGGGGGCAGTGTTCTCCCCACCTTGGTTAAGGTCTGTCAGTGTCCAACCAATAGTTGTATCACTCTAATCCCACTCCCCCATCCCAGCCCCAAGTAGCTGAGTTCCTATTAAGGAGGCAAGGACCCCTTCCTCTTTCGCATACCCTGCATTTATGCACCTGCCTCCACCCCCCCCCATCTGCCTCAGTGCCATGGGGTGAGGCCAGAGTCCTACGCACTTCTCAGCTCCGCATCCCAACACCAGCTTTGATGGGGCTGGCTCCCATAAATGTTAATGAATGACTCCTCCAGCTTTGGCTCAGAATGCGGACAGCACGGAACAGCCTGTAAAAGCCGGCTAGCAGGAGAGAGCTGGCACCAGCTGAGGCTCCCCCTCCCCCAAAGCAGCTTCGGGGCTGAGCCCCCTCTCCCACTCCTAGGGTCCCTCTCAACATTATCCAAGCAAGGTGCAAGGGCCACAGGCAAGCACACCGCCGAGGCTTTCTGCAACCTGCAAGCCAGCCTGGGCTCTTAGCCATGCTCAGGTACCACCACTCTGAGCCCAAGGATGTGCCTCAAGTGAAGTAAACATCCAAATACATAGATACGAGGAAATGGGGTGGGGTAGGAAAGAAGGGACCTGGAATCAGAAGAACAAGAGGGCAGTTATCAGACCAACGAGGAGCAGATGCCTTCTGTGTCAGGTCCCCGGGCTGAGCCTTTAAGAAAGGATGAAGTTAGGCGCTGCCACTGGGGCTCACTGGGCCTGGCGTTGACCCGTGTGCCCCTGAGTCCTGGACCAAGTGCGCAGAGCCGACCTGGGACAGGAAGGTACGCATGGCAAGTGAACGCACACGGATAGCTCTATCCTGGGAGCCTAAGCAGGTGGGGGCAGCCAGTCTGTCTGCAAACTGCAGGGGCAGCTTTAAGAGGCAAAACCCCGCAGCCATCAGGGCACTCCGTCCCAGAGCCAAGCCTAGCCAAACCCAACCCAACCCACCCAGGAGGGTGGAAGGGCAGTCTGGCGGACAGCATGCGCTTGGGCTGGTGCGTGGTGTGTGCGGGGACATCTGTGTATGCCACGGGGCGGGGGGAGAGGAGGGGGCCAAACTTACCGCGGGCGCTGGCGGGAGGGCGGCCTCGGTGGTGGCGAGCGCACGCATGCGGTCCCCCCAGGAGCTGCCTGCGCCTGCGGAAGGCGGACAGGAGCAAGCTGTGCCGAGTGGAGCCCGGACCGACAGCGGAGAAGACTGGGCAGGAGTCCAGGCAGGAGCGCACACTGCCTCTGCGCTCACCTCACCTCCCGCATAAACGAAGAAGCTGCCAGGCCGAGAGAACACTGAGCTCCGATTGCGGATAGGAGGAGGGAAGGGGAATAAAAGGAGCCCTGCAAAAGTGCCCTTTGGGCGGGTGACAAGCTGCCTAGTGAAGGAGAGCAGGGTACTCAGTGAGGTGCCTTGCTGCGCTCCTGTGGTGGATTGCGCACCACCTTGCACGATGGCGAGGGGGTGTGGGGGTGGGGACTGCGGGAGGTAAGAGAGCCACAGACAAACTGGACCTGGGTCAAGAAGGTTTGGGCTCCTCTCCTCTCTGCATGGCGGCAGCAAGGACTTGATCTGGACAGCTATGCCCTCCACCAAACTAACTTTCCTGGGGGGCTCTGGGGAGCCAGGCAGGCCCTGCCTCAATGCGGGAGGAGAGGCGGGGCAATATGCAGCCAATCACCCCTTGCCACTGAACGCCCCCCCCCCCTTCTTCCTTCAGTCTGCCTCACTGCCTGTGTGGAGTCCGCTAGTGAGCTCAGAACATTTCGGGGAGTAGAAGCATCAGAGAGTGGGATGAGTCACGGACGGGAAGATGGGGACGGGAGGGTGGCAGGCAGCCGGGCAGGAGAGGCTGAGCCCCTTCAAGGCACATGTGCTCAACTATGTGTTCAGAGAGAGGGAGTGGGCCCCAACCCCCTAAGCTTTGCCCCCCATAGTTCCCCAATACCCTCATCCATCAACAGGAGGCACCCCTGTACTGCCCCATGTGGGCACGGGGAGAACTCATTTCAGTGACTCGGAACTGTCTACCCCCATGACAGAGGAGAGAACAGCAGTACACAGTGGGCCTCCTTCTTTCCCGAAGTCCCCCATGTCGTGGGAATGGAAGCCATTTCCAGCTCCTTTCTTATCCCAACCCTGTTCTACTTTAGAAGGGAGCCAACCACTACATGGCTCACAGGTCTTTGAGGGGCTTCTAGTCTGGCACTGGCAGGGAGCCTCATCTTTTTCTTTCAGCTGGGGGTGCTCTGTCAGTGCAGCCCAGAGCCCAAATGACAATCATCTGGGAGCAGCAAAGCTGCCTGTTTGTAACTCGAAAGTTTCTCCATGCTAGCTGCACTGGCCAGCTGGGCTTGGGCAGCTGAGAAAGGGGTGGCCCAGGGCATAGCTGGAAAAAGGCTGGTGGCAAATTGCCTCTGAGCTTTCTCCTGTTGGACTAGCTGAGAGGAATAGGGCAGGGCACAAATAAGAAGGTGGGAAGGAGGTTCTATGTCTTCAGCGTGGAGGGGGGCAGAATAGTCAGAACCCATCCTTGTGCGAAGGGGAGAGACAGAAACCAAGACTCATTTCCTACTTCAGGTATCCCTGCCATTGCCACGGATGTGAAAGGGGGCATGGGAATGGCACCTGCAGCTAGACCTGGGACAGCAGCTCTCCCTGGCTGGGTTTAAATAAGGAAACACTGAGATGTTGGAGCTGTCTTGAAGCATCTGTTGAATGCAATAAACCCAGGCGCAGCAGCCTGACAAAGCAGGATGGGGTTTTTCCATCACGTCTTTCCAATCTCAGACTTTGACTAAATCATAGTGCGGGCGCAAGACCTTGAGGTTGGAATGTCAGGCGGTACCCAAATAAAAACCAATGTGCAAATGGTCCTGTAAGCCCACTTGCTATCCCCCCTTCCCACTACTGCCCCCTCCCTGAAAGCTGTGTGTATTTCTTTGTTAATGCAGTTAGAAAAGAGTACACTGTTAGTTCCAGGGCAACTGGCCATGGAGTACTACACAGGGGGGTCCTCCTCAGTCCTGAGGGGCTGCCCAAACCCTACTGTCAGTTTTGCTGATCTCCAAAAAGGTGATCAGTGTATAACAGCCTGTGGGAGAGGAGGGGTGGGGGGAGGAAGAGAATGGCAGTAGCATCCCCCTGGTTGGGTTAGCTGGCCAGACTACAGGGCTGCATGCTGCTATTTTATCTTCTTCCTGCCCTAGAAGATCCAAAGACCCTCATTTCTCCAGGGAGAGGACTCCTGATCACCCAGATTGCCACCTTCCTTCTCTATGAGGGCCTGGGTACAGGGGTCCCCACCCCCTGCTACTGGCCTAACATCTTGCTTGGCCCTGGTGCCCTATGCTCCAGGCCACCTTGCCTCCCACTTAAAGAATTACTTTTTCAGCTCGATTGGATTAAAACATTTAAGGTGGGGTGGGGGAAGGGCAGCTCTTGAATAAGATATAGCAAAACAGACAGACAGCAACCTGGGAGGGAGGCTTGCTTTGCCAGCCTCCTTCCAGGAGGAAGGAGTCACAGAAGCCTGCAGTCTATTCCCTTGCCTTTCTGGTTTTTTTCCCCATTTTATTCTTTCCCATTCCAGGAACTCAGGTGCCTGGTAAGGGCTTGTCCTGTCCAGCCCAAGGTTTGACGCTGGTATCAATGTCTGTTAGAGTACCAGCTGCATCCCCCCCCACCACACAGTGAGTTAGATGTCTCCAGAGTTAGCTCCTGCCAGCCAAATTCACATGCTGAAAAGCTCCTGGGCCCTGATGGCCCCCTCGACATTTGTTAGCTTCCCACTAATGCTACCCTTCTTTAGCTCCACCCTCCATTCTAACAAATTCCTCCATTGGCCTGCTGTAGTAGAGACACCTTGGGGCATCCTTTAAGGGTCTGAGGCACCAGTCCAGTGGGGTAGACGGTATTATTTCTGCTTTATACAGACGAGGGAACTCTAAGATTTTATCAAATGACTTATTCAACAATTCACATTTCTGCATAATAGGCACATATTCTAAGCATACTTTTTGTCAAAACAAGCCCAACCCTTTCCAGTCACCACCATAGCAAATCTGTCAATTATGGGGCTGCTGAAGCTGCAGCCATAAATAAAGTATAGTTGCGAATCCCTACAGCCCCATCACTGTGCTAAAAATTTTCTATTTGTACAAATAAGGAAAACGAGTTGTTAAATTCTATTTGCTATATTGCAGAAGCTTCTAGGAGACTGAGATAACAGGGAAGAGGAGGAAGGCATAGTCCTTGATTTTGCCCATCTCTGGCCACAGTTGCAAATTATTTGTGGAAAGGTCCCTAGGTCTAGGGAATATAATGCTGGTCCCCTAACTGGGCTGCCCACTAATGTGAGGCAGGAGAGAGTAGAGTGGGGTCCAATAGAGGTGGTGCTCTTCAAGGACCTCCTGCCCCTGCCACTTAGTTCAGGATTAAGCTTTGCAGTAGGCAAAAGAAAGAGATTCTACCAAGTTCCAACTGGCCTTTTGGACAGCTGTTCAGCCCAGTATCCTCACTTGCTACTGACTTCAATGTCAGTCCATGCACAGCTAGGTTATCCTCCTAAGAAACGGTGGGCAGGCTCCCCTTGTCCCTTGAAAGGTTTCCTACTGGGCTATCATATATGACACGATGAATAGAAGAGCATCAGGACACATTTAGAGAGCCTAGATATGGCTCAGGCTTGCTCTAGAATGTAGCTTTGGTGGAAAAGTGACAGGGAAATTTCAATCTGCATAAATAACTGCCACGTATGAGATGTGGCATAGATGTTATCCTTTCCATACTTAGTTCCCATTCCACACTTGCCAACTTTTCTGATAAAAAAGCAATTATTCCCATTTCTCTAGCACTTTCAGGTTTATGGATTCTTTTCCTCACACCCTCCCCATGAGGAAGCATGGCCAATTTCACTGCCCTCATTTGTAGAGAGGGAAACTGAAGCTCAGAGTGTTGAAGTGACTGACCCAGAGTCACCGAGCTAGGAAGTATCAGGGCAGAATTCACACCCAGGGCCCCTGGGACCCTTTCCAATATGCACATTGCTTCTCTAGGACACTTTTCATCTTTTTATGAAGACTGGGGACAGGAGCAATGACCTACTTCTCTGGACATTTGGAGTTTAGCTCTGGAACATTGTCTAGATGACCAGGAAAACTGTCTTCATCCGGATACACAGTAAGATGGGCAAATAACTCCACCAATATGCCATGCCATGCATTCTGTCCAGGCTCTGTTTTATGGCAAAGTTGAGGTCATACACTAGGAGAAGATAAAATAGTTGAAACATTGGCCTTCCAAGCCCGCTTGGCAACCAATTTTTGGAAGTTCTGAAAAATTCACTTTTCTATGCTGTTGTCATCATTGCATAATTGAGTGGCTTCCCTTTGTTCAGCTGGCATCAGTCTCCCTTCTCTTTCCCCATGAGTCGTTGCTAAGGATTAATTGTATGCTGCCAGACTTCTAAAATGAGAGGACTTAAACGAAGCTTTGGAAATATTTCCTGCAATTCAGTAAATAGTTTGATCTCCCCACAAGCTACATCCCAATTAAAAAAAATGGAGCCGTGTGTCATATTGGAGTTGGGGCTATTCTCATGGCTACCTCTGGATGTAGCAAGTCAAGTTCCCTTTGTGGACCTCAGTTTGCTCATCTGTATAACGATGGGTAGAATTCCCAGAGAGTGGCTATGGACCATGGCCACATACTGAGTTCTGATCCATCCTGGCCATCTGTGCTCATGAGAATAAGTCTCCTTTTCACGATGCTTTGAAATTTACAAAGTACTTTCCCCACAACTCAGTGAGCAGTTGATAGACTTCTTTCTTTATTTTTCTCTGTTCATTTGTTTATTTATTGGAAGAAGCCAAGTTGAAAAAGCTCAAACCACATCAACAGTTCTGGAAGACAGACAAAGACTCCTCGCTGGATAACTGACTAACAGGACAGGAGAGGTACCAGTCCAACACTCAGCTGACGGACATTTCATCAACTCTACTGAATAGAATTGGCTTCCACTTCAATTACTAAGCATGCTTCCATCATAACTGTGTGCTTATGCAGGGACCCAGAGAAGCAATACTTGTCAGAAACTGGATCACAGCTTTCGAGTTGGAAAGGACCTTAAAGGGCCCAGAGTCCAACCTTCCCTCCCCACCTCAGCCCTATTTTGTAGATGAAGAAACTGAAGTCCCAGCAAGTTATGCGACTTGGTCACAGAGCTAAGTACCTGATGTTGGATTGGAACCCATTGAGGACTTCCTGACCTGTCCACTATTCTCCTTCCTCACACCTTGTGTCCTCTGGTCAGGCTATGTGGTCAAAGCTAATTGACTTTGCCAGCTGTGCTCTGCTCTCAGCTCAGTTACAATAGTCTAGAATGTAAGCAGTGGGGTGGTGATGGTGATGTGAATCTGGATTGATAGCCCTGAAGGGCTGGTTGCCACTCATGCTGTATGCAATGAGGATGAAAATGGGCCTGGGGGGAAATGGGCTTGGGAAAAATCTGAATGACAAAGTTCTGAACCTGATATCGATCAAAGAAAAAGCAGGAGAACACCGCTTCCACCAGCAGTGAAATCCTCCCTACCACTCTGGATTTTTGGAGAGCAA